TTCCATTAATTACTCCTTTTTTTATTAGGCAGAAAAAGTTTAAATGTAAACGTTTTTAGGGTTTTTCAGAAACCAGGTCGAGTTGCACTACAGACCCGTATTCTGGCTTTGAACAAAAACGGTTTCCTAAAAACAGCGATTTCACCGTTCTTCATAAAAACGGTGATTCCACTGTTTTCACATGCTATTTCCATTAAATCTCATCCATCTTACACCACCATCCCAAATAAACCCTTACGAAAAAAAAACACATTACAAAAGTCTTTATTATTGAGATTTTATTAGATAAATATCCTAAACCTTCTCTTTGTTTCTTCTGAAGATCTTTTTATAGGTTGAATGAAAATAGAAAATAGTAGAAATTAAGATTTATTTTTCAAGGATATTTGAGAGTAAATTTTTCATATATTTGCCACATGTCACACAGCATGAATGAACCACCAAAATACCAATTACCAATTACTCTACATTTCGGCAGATCCTTCCAATTCATTAACCCAAAATTGGCATAGCATGTAAAACTTTTTAACCACATAATCAATTATAACATAAGACAGTAAGATTTGAGATTTCTTATAAATTATCATAAGATGGTGTAGAGCAGAAACCCAACACATACAACTTGAGAGACATTGTTTTCCTCTGCGCAAATTAGCTCGAAGGGTCACATTGTTTTTCTAACTTAATAATATTCAATTATTTGACTTATAGCATGGCTGAATTTAAGATTTGTAGGTTGGATATAACAAAAACACATTATGAAGCAACTAGAGAGAGGAGTGAAATTGACAACTAGTAGTATATAATAGCTGGAAAACTCGGATCTATCAGAGTCACTTTAAACTATGAAATCAAACACCTCTCTGAGTCACACTTTAGAGATATGCAACATAACTGATAATAATCCCATACTAACAAATCATACTATACCATTCCCACGACAAAAGATTTCAACATCATCATCTATCATATGTCTGCAGTAAGGAAGTTATTGGAAATTGAAACCTGCGGGAAAAAAAAAAAACAAGAATTACTGAATGACTTATGCAACAAATACTACAGTACATACCACCGCAATGACTCCAAAACACTCGGGAGAGGGAGGGAAAAATAATACCTTCTCGCCCATTTTGAAGGTAGGCAGTCCCTTGTAAGGGCAGGTACTGCACCTAAATGCATCCCCAAGCCCACACTGTTAGACCAAAGACAAACCTTGAGAACAATGACCATTAAAGAATAATAATAATAATCTTAAATAGCATAATGAAGATATTGCCACACTATACTGTAACCACTCACAAAGAACAAATCCCAGACTTTGCAAAGAAACCCCAGAAATCCATTCTCCAGGCTAACTATAACTCAATCCATTTTTAGAAAGTCTTCTATAAGTTATATTCAACAGAACTTTATTTTTTGAAGTGCAAGAGACAATTCAGTTGGGTTTATAAAACCAGAAGCCAAACAAAAAGAGTCTTTTTCAACTAAGCCGAGTTACTCTCCTTATTTAAAATTTTGACACCAGACAGATACCACATGTAAATCAAGGGATTACATCATGCACATCCAAGATTAGATAAGCAACCTAATCATTGGTTGGCGACACTGCATTTGCTGCTACTGTTTTTGGAAACAACTATAAAGCCCGAGGTGCTAGACATCAGCGGCAAACTTCCTCGAATTAAATCAGAAGTCAGAACATATTTAATGATGGAATTGGTTCAATATTTGTCAGTCAAAGTTTTTATTGTAGAAATATTAGCGTTAGAAGATTCAGAAGTCAGAACCAGAAAAACAAAATAAAATCAAGGTAACTAGAAAAGCTAAACACAAAAAGATCATGGATGCTGTTAGACTCTTCAATTTTGTAACTGTTCTTAAATTATTAGGAGGGTTACTGGGTAATTTTTATAATTATTATATTGTTAATTCAGAGTGTTTAGGTTTAGAATAAATAGGGGAAATTATTGAATGGTTATTGGGAGAGACTCAACTCTCAGAACATTGGGAAGGAAGAGATCCAAGACTACTGAATTCTTGGAAGGAACCAAACTGGTCCTGTCATTCTGTATGTGTTATTTCTCTATATTGAAATTCTGTAATTTTATTTTGTAAAGAACCAGTTTCTATCAATGCCATAGTAACATATTTAAGAAGATTTGACAAAAGAACCAAATAGTCTTGACAACTATGTTGTCAGTTGCGAATAGTCGCGTGGAGCGGTGGGCCAGCTCCAAAACTGGGATATGGGATGGTGGCCAATTTGAACATTTTTTGGGACACATTACATGATTAATACTGTTACGGATTTTATCACAATTTTAATGCTAAACACTTCTTAACGTTTTGATACTATAACACATAAGGACTTCACTAAAAACGAGATGATACAATAGGGACCAACAGATTGATTTAACCAAGAAAGAAAAAAGACATACACTGCCACAAGCTGATTTAGGATTATTAATCTGTTCTGCTGTCAATTCTAACTTCAAGACTTTTTCCTCTTCTTCTGCTCTCCCACATGAGCAATTTTTGCAGGCTTTTCTTGTAGTTCCGATTTCACAATCACCTATTGCATAACATGTTACTTAATAGTCAAATACCACAGAATGCTAATTGAAGAACAAAGCTAGAGAAGCGCTGAAAAGTACTCTTTACCAGATGGCAGTTGGGGTTTCTTTAAATCTTCTTCAGACAAAAGACTATTTTCATCAATCAGATCAGAATCAAAATCAATTTGAACTTTAGGGGAACTCTTCACAACCTTCTTTAGCGCAAAAGATGAACCAATTTTCCATGAAGGCTTTTTAGCTTTGATCTATGCACAATACAGAACATATAATTAGAACTTGTAAGGTCAGAGCAGAGTTAATTAGGAGAAAAATAAACTCTAGCTGACTCATGTCTTATGCTCCACTTGACATGCAATAGGAAATTCAATGTGTCTTAGATAATAAATAGCATCATAAAACAACTAGCTGATATTAGTGAGTCGGCACAAAATGAAAAACCATTAAATACAGCAACGGTTGTCAAATACCAGTCGACTGTGTTTCAAGAAACATGTAAGCCTATCACTCGACTCATTGGCCACATTTATATTGTATATTATTCTGTACAGCAGACAAGACATGACAAGACAATAACTGTTTCACAAAATGTTTCCAGCACATTCTGTTCTATTGCAGACCAGTTTTTTTTACTCAATTGCAGAACAGTTCTTATAACATAAGAAAGCAGTGGTTAATAGAGATGACAGGGAGATAGATACCAGAAAATAAAACTTACCACAGAAGATTGTAAAGCCTGTATTTCTGAAAACCCTGCCAATAACAACTTGTTTTCAAGATCAGGTATCGTCTGCAAGGACAATGAGAAAAATGTCAGATCATGTGCTACAACATTAATTCCCTCAGGCACAATCTAGGTATTATTATTACCTTATCATCTAAACCCACAGCAGATTGGGAGGACTTGCGAATAAGAGTTGTCCCACCAGCTTTTAACACTCTAAGGACTTCTTGAGTCAGTTGGTTAATAGGAAAATCAAGAGACTTCCAGATTAAAACCACCAAATCCACAGAGGAAGACTCCACTGGAAACTTGCCTATAGTTTGCAATAAAATAGATGGCAAAAATTGGTATCTTTGGCTATAATAAAATAACACATGCACGGCAAAGTGGAATATCATGCATTTGAAAGAGAAATAGTAGCTTCCATCTAACTTCTTCCAACACCTGTGGATTGACTTGAGTATAAACGACAAAAAAAAACACAAGATCTAGCTCCACAAACCTCGAGCATTAAAATCATTACCACAAGCCATTATGCAATAAGCATGCTAATCTGTCAGCAATTTCATTTATACGATTTGTTCCAACATGAACCAACAAAAAGAGAATTTAAGCTCTAAGTTTTCAAACAGCTTGACAGAAGCATAAAAGCCAAAACTGTACACTAATTCAATAATTGCATGTTTTGGACACTATGTGACAAAAACAGCTTGTAATAGCAAAACCCTAAAGAAGCAACATAGTCAATCAAGCATCATTTGCAGAAAACTCTGCCTGATTTGGTAAATCTAAAATTGAAAAAGATGTAACCAATAGAAAGATTACAATTATTGGCTACTTTTAAAAACTAAATTACCCCTAACCCTATAAGTTAGAAACAAATTTGACAAACAAAACCATGATATCTGCAGCATTAATAGAATAATCAAAGGAGTGGATTTACTCAATGATGACACAGATGTAATAACCAAAGGATCCAATTTCTCAACCCCTTCATTTCCAAGCTCTCTAATCGTATCAAACACTTGACTCACTGGAAGAACCGCTTCATCAGTACATGCCAACACACCATGAATTTTCGCAGCAGCCTATACTCACAATAACAATCATCTTAAAATAATTCATATCAAAAATACCTAAACAGAGAAGCACTTTTCCCAAAGCAAAAAAAGCTGAAAAATAACGATTCGTATAATTTAGCGTGTCCAGAATTCAGAATTCAGAATGAGAAACCAATCAAAATCGATCGAACAATTTACAGATTAAAATAATCGCTTAAAATCTTAGAAAAATTCGAAGATGTTAACGAAAAGAAAGATAGGGAAAATGATAAATAGATAGATAGAGAGGAACCTACCATTGCGATGAGATGTTGAAGTTCAGGCAAAAGAGATAGCGTGTATAAAAACCTAACAGAATCTTCGAGAATCGATATATAGAGGAAGAAGAAGCAATTGAACCGCTGCAGGGTTTTATAAATTAAGACTAATTATTTTTTACCATATTATTATATTTATATTTAGCGATTAAATTTATCATTTATTAAAAAATATTTTATATTTTATTCCTAAGCAGCAAAAAAAAACTGATTATTCAAAAATCAAGACTGCAAGTGACGTGTACGGTGACGACGGTAGTGATAACGCAAAGGGGATTCCGGTAATGCGGTGCCGCCGGAGGATAAGCGGCGCGTGAGAGAAACGATGGGAAGCACGATTTGTCGAGTAACTTGCATGCTTAACAAACTCTCTTCAATGTTAGAATTGAAACAACTCCAAGCAATTATCACCAAATCAGGTCTTCAATCTCGTATTGATTTCACAACGAAGTTAATTTTCTTTTCAGCACTTTCTCCGATGGGTAATCTTTCACATGCTTATTCTCTTTTTCAACAATCTTCTTCCATTGTTAAGCATAATCCTTTTATTTCCAACACTATGATTCGTGCTTTTTCCAGAAGCTGTTTCCCTCTTCAAGCTTTGTATATTTATAACCAAATGCAACTTGGTGATGTTGTTTCTGATTGTTTCACTTACAATTTCGTGATCAAAGCTTGTTCTAGAGCTTATAAGTTTTTGCTAGAAAGTGGTAGTGGTAGTTATGATGATGATGTGCTTGTTGTTGTTTATAGTAAAGGAGCTGAAATTCATTGTAGAGTTATCAAAATAGGGTTTGAAAATGACACTTGTGTTCAAAACTCTTTGCTTAATTTGTATGCTCACTGTGGGTTGGTCTCAGTTGCACGCCACCTGTTTGATCAAATTAAGAATACAAGTTTGGTTTCTTGGAATATCATGATATCGGCGTATCATCGAATTAACGATTTTGAATCTGGAGATAAGCTTCTTGAATTGATGCCGCATAAGAATGTTGTTTCGTGGAATACCCTGATTGGAAGATATGTTAAGTTAGGTAATGTTGAGGCTGCAAGGAGAGTGTTTGATTGTATGCCTGAGAGGGATGCGGTATCGTGGAATTCTATGATTGCTGGTTGTGTTTATGTTAGAGATTATGCAGGAGCGTTGGAACTCTTTTCTGAGATGCAAAGTGATGGAGTAAAACCAACAGAGGTAACACTTATATCGATCCTGGGTGCCTGTGCTGAAATTGGTGCATTGGAGATAGGTCACAAGATACACGACTCTCTCAGAGCGTGTGAGCATAAGATTGAAGGTTATTTAGGTAATGCCCTTCTGAATATGTATTGTAAATGTGGGAATTTGAGCTTGGCTTGGGAAGTATTTAATGGGATGAAGATGAAAACTGTGAGTTGTTGGAATGCTATGATTATAGGTTTGGCTGTCCATGGTTATTGTGAGGAGGTTTTCCATTTGTTTTCAGAGATGGAAGAGAGTCTTGATGGTAGTATTAAGCCAAATGGGTTGACGTTTATCGGTGTTTTGGTTGCTTGTAGTCATAAGGGGTTGGTTGATAAAGCAAGATGGTATTCCGATCATATGGTAAAGAAGTATGAAATTCTGCCCAATATTAAGCATTACGGTTGCATGGTTGATCTTTTAAGTAGATGGGGTTTGTTGGAAGAGGCTTATCAGATGATTATGAACGCCCCTTTCCAAAATAGTGCAGTGTTATGGAATACATTGCTGGGTGCTTGTAGGACACAAGGTAACATGGAGTTGGCTGAGATATCCTTCCAACAACTTGCCAAACTGGAGAAACTAACAGATGGAGCTTACATGTTGTTATCTAACATGTATGCTGAAGCTGGAAGATGGGATGAGGTTGAGAGATTGAGGAGTGAAATGGATTACTTGCATGTTCCTACACAAGCTGGCTACAGCCAAATCAATATGAATGTCCAATAAGCTTTCCTGAACAAACCATTGGCTTTTGCTGAGATATGTTACAGACATTTATTTAGTCAGACTTGTGCACTTCTGTGAAATGAATATTCTTCAGTTATGCTAAAGAATTCATTGGCGTGAAGGCTCTTGATGAAGCTGAAAATCTTAAATTGAGTTCCACCATCATCTAGGATATGACAAGGAATGCCCAAAAGATGAAGGAAGATGGCAGTGAGGCACCCATGAATACTACAAAGCTGAGAAGGTCATATCATGTAATCACTTGTTCAAGATGTGGTAGTATCGAAGGCACAACATCAAAGCGTGTGGTAATGAGGGATACCAATAAGGGGGAAAACATGGAAACCGCCTGCTCAACCACAAACTGAAACTGATATGTCAGTCTCAACCACATTCCTAGCCGGTGAACCCAAGACTGAACCTCATCCTGAGGTAGAGCAATTAACAATCACAGTTTTTACTCACGATATATTTATATGTTTCATGATTTGCAGGGACTTATTGTTGTTGCTAATGTTCACTAATATGTTTCGTTATTTACAGGAACTTATTGTTGTTGCTAATGTATAAGGATCTTTTCCTTTTGGATTTGGACTATGAACATATTATGGACAAGCAACGAGGTTTAGCCACCACCTATCTGAAGAAACAAAGCGTCTCAAATTTGATACAAGTGCCATACATTGGTGGGACATCAAAATCCATGAACTTCATGCCAACAATAATGCTTCCAAAGTTCACATCAATACTATTATGAAGAAGGATGAACAAAGACTTCTTTTTTGTGATTACGTTATGTCAATTGTCAAGTGCATATCAAGTTATTGTGTCTAAACCTTTTGGTTTTGGTGTCAACTAAACAATTAAGTCCGCCTTTTAAATTTCAAGACATGTTAAGATATTGGTGTAATTAAATGCCTCCATTTAACTAATGTTACCTTTTAAATATCAAGACATTAAAGTCATTGCATTTAGTTGTCATATTTGTTGTTGTCAAACACATTAAATGTTGTGTTTAGGAAATCACTTTAGTAAGGTGTTTTTCATGATAGGGTGAAACATAACATTAACACAATTTCAATTCAATTGTTTGTCATACACCCTTGGGGGTGTTCGCAGTTTGGTTTAGATAAATTTTAAAATAAAAACTCATTTGATTCAAAGATAAATTTATTCACAGTTTCGTTTTGAATGATATATTAAAATAATCTGATCTGATTCAATCTAAATTAATGCAATTTAATTTAGATCAGTTTTTAAATATATATAAATTAAATATAATTTTATTAATTAATGCAGTTTAATTTAGATCAGTTTTTGAATATCTAAACTAAATATATTTCAGTTTTTGGATATCTAGATTAAATATAATTTTATTAATTAATGCAGTTTAATTTAGATCGGTTTTTAGATATCTAAATTAAATATATTTTTATTAATATTATAAAAATATTAATAAATCATAGATTCGATGTAATATATAACATATAGTATATTAAAATTTAATATTATAAAATAAGAATAATCGATTATGATTGAAATAATAAAAATAAATAGATTAAACCAAACTAATAAATAATATTAAAAAATAATTATCATTTAATAATAAACTCATATAATATATCATACTAATAAAAAAATAAATAAAATAAATAAGTACAAAAATATATCCATATGATTTGGTCCAGTTTTAGAAAATCAATCTGAAATATGATCCTAACCGTACGATTTTATAAAATGATATTCAAATACATCCAATAAACTTCAATTTTTTACGGTTTTCAGTTTTTTTTATCACTTTGCGGTTTTTTATTTAAACGGTTTTTGGTTTTTTTTTATCACTTTGCGATTTTTTATTTAAATTAGTTTGAATTTGAACACCCCTAACTAAACTACAACTGTTCATTTACTTCAAATATTATAATATCCATTACGTTAAGTACTGAAACACTCCATAAACAACATTGGCATCACAAACGACGCAGATAAAAACATTTCATGAACCTCATGTCAACAACCATACTGTCGGTCATAATTCAGATTTGCTTTCCACGTATCATCCATTGCATTATCTCTTCCAACCTCCATTCAAATCTGTATTTAAACTCTCTTTTAGATGTCTCTGTTTGAGCTGCAACAATTTCATCCCAATCATCTTTCCAAATAGAGTACTTGCAATTTGCCTGGTCATCATCCTCCAAAAAACATCAAAACATAAATTCCTTAACATGGAATTCATACATGTATTTAGAAATAGAAAAATGGAATTTTACTAACCTTATTGAATGAACGAATACAGAATGTCATCTTGGGTTCAACCTTGTGTTGGTTCTGCATAGAAGACACCTTTTATCACAGTGGCAATGAGGTACATTCGAAAACCCCTCTACTCATGATAAAGAGAATTGACTCCACTCTTAGGAAAAGGCTAACTTCACCTTCACGGACTTCCAAAATGGTGTACCACTTCCCAAAATGACTTGCTACCTTCACAGACTTGAAAACGGTGTACCGCATCATAACTCTATTTCTTTTATCCCAGATTCAATTCAGCGCAATAATGGGGGATAAGGGTTTGGGTTCTTTCAATTTAAAGGACATTGGGAAGAAGATTATGTTTTAATTAACGGTCAGTTTGGTCCTTGCAAGCATGAATAACAAAATGGAATGAAGAAATGCCTACTCTCGTGTCACATAAGCATATGATGTGTAAAAAAAGTGACAGCTCACAAAACAAACAGAAAATATATAAGATAGTTGCCGGCATGGACTTAAATGAAAAACGGAATAATGCATGGACTTTAAAATGTTTTCCTTTTTTCCAAGGACTGTTGTTATACCGCATTTCTATTGCAGGGAAGTTAGTGTTTACTCCTTTAAAAAACCATGTACTCTAGCAATACCACACTATCTAAAAGTTCCATTATATCATCCCGTTATAAATTGGTCTGCCACTATCCATTATATGTCTACATCAAAGAAGTCATCGGACAGTGCTACCTGCACAAATTAATGATGACTTATTTAAAAATGCTACAGGTCATGCGAAAGAAATGACAACAAAAAACTAAAAGGAGGGAAAGTACCTTCTAGTCTAATTTGAATTGAAGGGAAGGCCATTATAAAGGCAGCCCGGTACTGTGCAACTGAAGGGAAGGCCACACTGCATACTAAAGACAACTTCGAGAACAATGCCAATTTCAGGAGTGGTCAGAAATAGCATTAGAGAAAAAATTGACCCCAGGGTAACCCTTCAAAAAGAGCATATCACAAAATCTGCAAGGGGATTCTATGTTCTTATTGCACATGTAATGTTTTTTTTATATGATATAATGCACATGTAATATTGACTGTAATTCAACCAGTCTTAGAAATTCTTTTCCCATGAAAGCTGAATAACATTAATATTCTATATAGCTTTCAAAGTAAAAAAAAAAAACATAATACTGATAAAGAAACAATTTTATTGAAATACAACATGTGAAGATACAAATTAGTTTTGAAATTATATAACTCAACTGCCAGACTTAGAAAACAATAAAGCACCCCGTAAACTTAGAAAACTCACCAATTTGAAAATTAACAAGTGAGCCAAGATTCAAGAGCTAGATTGAAAAAAATAGCCCTAATAGGAAATTAGCACTTCCATTCTTAAGCATCTAATGCAGTGCCAGCTCTTCCATATCACAAAATTCAATTTACCAGACATGAAATGTTCAAGGTTGGTTTAACCCTATTATGATTCATATGTTTCTATGTATCATCTGAACTGAACAAACAAACAAAAATCTATCTAACTAAATCATTTTCTAGCAATAAAACTGCATGAAGGGAATTTTCTTTTATATAAATATGAAATATGAAATATCTTAGAACTACGTACCTCAAAATGCACATAAGCAAAAATGTGCTGAGCAACAAAACCACATTCTACATATGGCACATACAAACTGTACATTGCAAAATAATAAAAAAGACATACATTATCACAAGCTGATTGAGGATTGGTAATCTTTATGTAGTTATCAATGTAGATGAAACAACAGCTGCTATGAAGATAGGTATAAAGCTTCTAGATAATCATCAATGTAGGCCAAGCTAGGCCAATGATCTGTGCGAATACGAACTAAAGTTGAAACATCGCCAACTTCCATTTGGAAAAGGAGATGGAACCGCGGTGGAAGAAATATTAGAACAAGAAAACAGCCTAGGTTGCTTTGTCTGCTATTGATAATTACCCCCTTCTCATACTCTTCATTATTGTATGTAAGACGGAGTGGACCAGCATCATAATTTGCAATTGCAGTGGCATCAGGGGAAGCATCTTCCCAAATAACATTCTGAATAATTCCCCCTTCCCATACAGCATCAATTAGTGGCTCCCCACTCACACCTACAACAAAGCGTGCCAGATGGCGCTCAGTTGCCTGAATCAATGAGTTTGCAGAGATGTCAAGAAGCTTGACAGATTGTGTTCCACTAATAGCAGCAATCCCTTTGCTTCCTTTCAATTGAAAGGTTTCCCGTCCAGTGCTAGAGGATGAGCCACATGCCTCCCACAAAGCAGTGAACAAGTCAAAGTTGTACTGAGGTCTTGCGTTTTCTTCAATATCTGATGGAACAATGGCCTTGAGAAACATGTCTTCAATGCCTATTGTGATTCCCTGAAGTTGACCTTGAATGATCTGACCATTTTCTGTATTTGTTTCAATGTGAACATCAACTATACCTGGTGCCGGTTCCCTGGGCTCCAAGTCAACCACCACAGTAGCTCTATATTTTTCCTCTTCTCTGGATTCCTTTCCTACAGGAACAATACTGAGGGAGGCATTTTGAGATGCAGGGTCCTTACTGTTAGGTTCACCAAGAAGAAAAGGTATATGAGAAGATGGAATCGACCCATAAGGTGCAGCAGACGAAAAATGTAACAAAATAGCATATAGAGCGGGCAGGGTATCTATCTCTTCCTGGGCTGTGGCAGTGTTATTGATTCCCAACATGCGATTGAAAGTATTAGATTCAAATCTCAAACTGCACGATATGCTAACTTTGAGTCCTGCCATATATCTGTAGTCAGGAATACAGGAAAAGTACTTCCTTAACGTGTTCAAAATTTCTGCAATTTTAGAGTCCATAACACGGAGTGGCTCATTTGGTTGATTTGTTCTTCCAGTTTCAGGAATGAACTGTGAATTGGGGCTGTCAGAAGATTCATTTTCTTCGTTAGGAGGTTCAAGGTCCCTGATGCCCTCCATATAAGCTGGTTTGCTATTACTCACGACTAAACTTGATAAAGACAACGACCAAAACTGCTTAACAAGTAATGGGGTCAGACGCTCAAAGTGAATGCAGGATGTTAGGTTTTTAAATGTCTTGAATCTTTGAGAAGGTCGAGGTGATTGAACATTGAAGAAAGTGGTTTGGTGTGAAGAAGGTGAAATCCCAAGCATCGTGCCTCCCAGGCTCAAGATATCTCTAAGCTTCTTCCCTGGAATGCAGACCAGCATACGCAAGTAGGTCCTGTAACATACCAAATATCAGAAAAGTCAAGTAACCACTTTTGCAGACCTAAACTTTAGCCTAGCAAGCTATCTCTGACTTCAAGATATAATTCATAAACCAAAATTGAAGGGGACATAACATGGAAAACAGATTACATTGAAAGCAGGAATACACAGTGCAACCAATACCTTGAATTATCACGGACTTCCAAATCAGGAAAAAAGAGACAAGTAAAAGCAAGTAGACGAGATAGTCTAAGGAACAGTCTAGAACTATGGTGGTGTACCAACATAGTTCGACAAATACCAAGAGCTCTACTTCCTTGGGACCAAGATTTCATTACTGTATCCGGGCCATGTTTCTCCACAAGAAAAATCATGAAGTTTGTGAGTAGTGCTATCAATCCACGCGGAGGTATTGTTTGATTCTCAGCAATTCTATCAAATATTGGGAAGCAATACACCAACTTATAATCCATTTTCACTTTTGGAAGTAAGTGCTCGTCAAATTTCTGAAGTAAGCGCTCGCCCAACCAAGAATGCTTCTTACAGGATAGTAAACGGTCCACAAAAGCAGCAACAACAGGAACCAGTCTCCGACTCTCCAAAGTCATGTTCACAAGCATCGCCTGAATAAACAAATGGATTTTAATTTTGAATGCATCATACCTTAAGACAAGTCGTGGTAAATTCACCTTAACCACAGAATTTGATCTCTCTAGTAACTAACATTAACATGAGTTGGTTTGGATGAGCATTGGACAGCCGTTATTTTGAATGAACTTGATTTTGCCAAATTGATATGATTAAAATTGAGCATGAAGTGATGGGATGCTTTTACATTAAAAGCAAGTTTGGTGTAAATTGCAATGCAAAAAATAATTTTTACCAATTCTGGTCAAACCAATATGATTATAGGAAAATTTTGGTCGAAAAAATAATTATTATAGGCAAAATCAATTATACTTGAAAGTAAGATACATACTTGACTCAATTCTAGTAACAAAACAAGAATCTTATAAGTGGAAATTCCTTAATGCAATGTACCAAAAACAAATCCACATGAAATTCTAAAATGGGAAATGTTGTTAATAAACACCTGCAAAGTACGAAATATCATGGAGTCCAACATATTTCTTGTTGTGGAAGGATCACTGTCAGAATGAGACGATCCAGCAATGAGAAACTTATGAAAGGTACGAAATGCAACTGCAATCTCTGTGCTCCCTGGAGGCAACCATTTGAACGATGATACAGAAAGGAGACCCTTTTCAAACACCTTCACCGGATCAACCAAACCAACATCACCATTACGGGAACTAGATTTATAATCAGAATCACTTTTCTTACTCAAGACAGAGCAGGATGCAAGAAGGTCAAGCTTCAATGCTTTCAGAGCCAATGGATCAAACAAAGAAGGATAAAAAGTGGAACAAGCTTCATTTCCTCTCTCAATCTTCTTCTCAATATGTGATTGTTTACTGGAAACCAATTGATTGAAACCCAACAACCAATGAATTGCCAACAAGCGAAACACCAAATAATGATGAGATTCTCTAGAAATCAACAAGAGCCTACTAGAAACCTCGCCTTCCTGGCCATCAAAAGCATCTAAGAAACGCATAAACATAGCCAAAACGACATGGCAAAGAAGAGGATCATAAGAATGAATCATCCCAAACAACTGAACCTTAAGCATTGAAGGTTGCAATTCCAAGGCCACTACTACAGATATCACCATAGATACAAACTCCATCATTCCACATGGTGTCAACACTTGTGGCGACTCCAACAAAAATGCCAAAGCTCTTCTCAGTTCCTTCGTATTCAAACCCGAACCAGAATCCTCTCGATTCAGACACTGTGGTGTGTTAAAAGGAAGCAGCGGAAGCGATGTATTGAGAATGGAAATGCTGAGTTTCTTATCAACGATGTTATGAATAACCGTTGTGAAAAGCAAGATGTAGGATTGTGAAGCGTGCGTTCGTTCATTCTGGCAAAGACTCCACAAATGTCCAACCACATCGGAAAGTAAACACGGTTTCGATCGTTCCAATTCTCTCAAACACTCGCACGCGATGGCGCGTGTGTGACGATCGGAACCGAAATTCGGACGGTTAATAACCGTCAACAGAAGTTCAACTAAACTCTCCATTACCGTTTGAACGTTGTCCTCTTCCGAGAAACAAACGATAACGGAAGTGACAGAAATCATAAACTGCTCTTTGAACAAAGGAGTGATGTGAACGGCGTCGGGAGGAGATTGGATGACGGTTTTGAGAGGTTCGATGAGACGGTTGAGGTTTTCGGAATGGAAAATGGAAATGGAGAATTCGTCAAAGAAGACGAGGAGTTGGAATTTGAGTTGAAGAGGAAAGTCTTTGCGGAGAAGAGAGGATAAGAGATGATCGGTGAGAGATGGATCGAGAGAGTTCCATTTTTCAATTCCGGTGCCGGATTGGAAATTCTCCATTAGGGCTTCCCATTCTTGAAGTGTTAAAGGCTTCGCCGGTGGTGGCGCCGTCATCGAAAACCGGAGGAAATGAACAGAGCTGCGAGCAGTTCGTTAAGTTACTCACACTACCAAACGTCGAGGAAAGTGAATAGTGAGAAGATTGAAAAAACAATGTTGAACCGGATCGGTTGGGCCGGTTAGTGTTTGTTTGGGCCAGATAAAGTGACCCGGCCCAAGATGAATAAGACTCGTTTAAATTGTTGCAGAGTGTAATGTTATTTCCTGAGTGTGGTGTGATTTGATGGGTGAAGGTGCAGAATACAAGAGCGAATTGAAGAAGGAGAAGGTGTTGAAAGCTTTATTGGAAGATCCAATACTCAGTGATGTGCCCAAGAATCCATCTTTGGAAGACGTGGAAACACTGATTGGACTTGAATTGGGTAGTGCAATGCGAATTTCGGTTTTGAAATTGGATTCATCTTCCTTTGATGTGATTGTTATGAATACGGCAACTGTGAAGGTTTTGAAACTTGCTATCAAGAAGAAGGTCAATTACATGGAACAATCTAGCATGGGTCATCGTCACATTTCTTGGTCAGTTTATGGGTTTTACAGTGTTTCTATACTTGATTTTGTTTATGGAAATTGTTATTTTGTGCTTAAACTTGTTGTAATTTAATTGCAGGAAGAGTGTGTGGGCTAATTATTGTTTGTCATTCGATAACAACAAGCTCTTAAATCATGACCATGTGCTTCAAGATTTGGGTGTGAGGAATAATTCACAGGTTTATTCTAATTACCTATTTATCGTGAAATATAATGAATTATTAGTATTTGGCTTAAATTTATATTTATTCCCTTCAAATATTGTCACCGTGATGGTGATAATCTACCATCTTCACTAGTCAACTAGTGCTAGGATTTGCAGCAGATTCAGACACAGTACTTTTGAAAGGAAGCTGAGGAGCTGAATCACCTAATGTAGGTCTTCTAGAGTTAGTTATTTTACATATGCATGTGCAATACCAAATTGGCCCCCGTGAACCCTATATATGACATGCAATGAGCTTTTCAAGCTGGTCTGCCTTCATTTTCAGCTCACTATTAACTAATCTCAGGTAGATTATTAGATTGTCCTACTCTCAAAATGCTGAATTATTTAATTTTCACATCTTTAGTTTTGGGAGGCGGCAATGAACTTGGTCTACAGAATACAATTCCGGTGGCTTATTTTCTCACCACAAATGTCAATATTATGGTTTGCTTACATGTTAAAAACTTAATGACCAGCAAATAAGGCATGTCAATTTGAGTAGAATTTCCTTCTTTAGTATGCTTTACTTTTCATGGTGAAATCATAATTTCAGTTCAAGAAAATCCAATATATGCTCAATCAGTCCATTCTAGCTTTTTTTTATTCTATTACAAATTCATTAGTTTGATTTTTCTCACCACTTCATATTGCTGACTGATGTCATGTGTATTAGGGGAGTGAATGGTAGTTTACTGGTATTTTATGCCAACGCAGGTACATTTTGTCCCATATGTCATGACAAAAGAATCTAGAAGACACTCAAAAAGGAAAAATCATCGATTTTTTCATGGTCTTAGTAAGCTTTTCTAATCAAACATGTTGAGAGTTTAAGTTCATCGGGTGTAGCATGTTTTGATATCTCTGTCGGTCAAGTATTCTATTTCATTACTTGCCTTAAAAGGCTGAGCGTGCCCAACAACAGCTTCATCGCTGATTCTTATATCAGGTTGTTCGTAGTTTTAGCGACTAGCATTTCCTAGCATAGAATTAAATAAGCTAGTGTGACACTCATTTTTGTCCGGACCTGTACTCCAAGGAAAATTATAAGCTTTGTCTTAGTACTTTAGCAGAGAATATTGTGGAAAATCCCTATGTTGAACTGAAACTAGCTTGTGGGAAGCCTCCAACAGATTCAAAGTGTATAATTGCTATATATTCTAACTTATGTTTATTAACATGCCTTTTTCTAAATGTGCCAATTGTGAATTTGTCTATCTAATTGTGAATTTGCCTTCCATATTTGTAGAAATTAATATGCCACCCCTAAAATTAAACATGTTACCTTTCAGTTTTCTAAATACCAAAAATGCTCCTAAACAAATTATGGATTGTAAAGAATGAAATTTCCGATAGTTTCTGGGAAACTTCTGGCATATTTTTCAAAAAATATATTTTTTCAATATCAGACATTTCAGTGTATTTGAAATTTCCAGTATGATACTAGACATTTCAATTACACTGAAATTTCCGGTACTGAAATTTGTTTTTCGAAAAAATACTAGATATTTTGAAAAATTCTGTATTTTTCCTGGAAATTTCCCAAAAATCTGGTATATTTTCGAAATTTCCGGTTTTTTTTTTAAATTTCCGTTATATTTTCAAAATTTCCAGATTTTTATTTTACTTTGAAATATACTGAAAATTGTTGTACGGTATTCGAAATTTCTGATATTTTATTGAAAATTTTGTAATGTTTTTCTGATAATTTCAAAAAAAACAAAATTGTTTTGAAATTTTTGACACACCCTTAAATTTCCGATAAAAATTCAAAAATTTTAAATTTAATGATCATTTACAAAGATATGATGGTAAAATCACATCTTTCAAGAAGTGGCATGTATAACCAATAGGGGTGACACTTAATTTCTCCAATGTTTATAATGAAAAAATAAGAGCTTTCATCTCAAATCAGCGAAAGTAGGAAAAGTGATAACTAAGGGTGATCGCCGTTTGGTTTGGATCGATTTTAAAATAAAAATTCATCCGATCTAAAGATAAATTCACTTTCGATTCAGTTTTGGATGATATATTAAAATAAATCCAATCTGATCCAATTTTATGCGGTTTAATTTGGACCGATTTTTAAATATTCAAATTATACATTATATTTTTATTAATATTATAAATCTACTAATAAATCATAGATTTGATATAAAATATAACATATAGGATATTAAAAACTAATATTACAAAATGAGAGGGATCGGTTATGGTAAAAATAATAAAAATAAATAGATTATGGTAAAAATAAATATTATTAATTTTTCAAAATTCATCCAAAATATTATGAGAGGGATCCGTTATTGGTTTGGTTTGGTTTGGATCGGTTTTGAAAAATTCATCCAAAATCCGATCTGAACCAATTGATTTTCATAAAATGACATCCAAACACATCTAATAAATTTCGATTTTTTGCATTTTTCGAATTTTTAGATCGATTTTCAATTTTTTATTTGGATTAATTTGGATTTGAACATCCCTATAATAACTGCTTGAAAAATAGAGAAATTGAGAAGTAAGATATTATTTTTGTGGGGTTCACGCCAATTTTTAGTCTTTGATCAGCGAAGAAAGGAATCGTGATGACACATATTTTTTCAATTCCGTTATTATCCCTCAGTCATACATCACTTATAACAACTCTTAACTTTTTAGACAAAACTAATACGATCTAATACAGTTAATTGTTTAAATTTTCTAAAATTAAATTCCTATAATTAATTAAATAATTAAACATATTAATAATATAATTTCTTTTAATTATAATTATAATGTAATTTGTTTAAACAAAACAAAAATTAAATTAATTTGTTTAAGTTCTTTTTTATTTAGGGGTATTTTTGTATTTTCATAAATAACTAATGCCTCTTTGTTCTCTATTTCTCTTCTTTCTATCATATACCAAATAATATAACAAATATACTCTATTTCTCTCTTTTTACACTCTTTCTTATCTTTTTCTTTTTTCTCATACTCTCTTCACAATCAAACATATACTAAATGTATTTGTAAATCACTTGCTAAAATACAAATAACAATAGTCAACATCAAAAGTGATGAATCAAAAACAAATTTGACTTTAAATCATCCCGCTAGAATAATATGAGCTTCGGATGGGTCATGTTGACGAAAGAATAATAATCAGAAAACTAAATTTTTCAAAAAAAAATACGGAGAACATTGTCACCATTAGTGATATTTATACTCTTTTTAGAGTCGATTAAAAATATAATAAAATTAATAAAAAGTATAATTTCTTGGCAAAATACTCATTTTTGTCCCTTAATTATAGGTCATAGTTGGTCTTTTAATTTTTTTTCGTGCTAAATTGGTCTCTTAAATTTCAAAACGTAACCACGTTAGTCCTTCCGTTAGTGAAACGATAATCAAATTTAAAAAATAGGCTCCATGTGGCATTTGTCATACTGGAGTGGTTTGCTGGAGGCAACGTGGCAAAGAATAAGGAAATGCAATCTCCAAAAGAAAACGAAAGGATATGCATGTTCATTTTGTCCAAGTCCAAAACCAAAAATAAAAGAAAGATGAAGAATGAGAATCTGCTGAGGCGAGTTTGAAGAGGCTTGCGAAGGTGCTTGAGAAGGTGATTGCGTAGGTGATTGCGAAGGTGATTACGTTCCAAGTAACTATTCTCATACTTGTTGGTAACTGGTATTTAGAGATTTAGGTATTCCATTCATTGTTTGTTCTGGAATTTGGGGATTTAGGTATCTTATTCTTGTTTGTTCTATGTGTCTTCATAACTGAATGTTTGTTATGAGATTTAGGTTTAATGGACGAATTTCTGAAACTCCTAATTCACCACAGTGGTGAATTCGTTGATCCAGAGCTTAGTGTCTATGAAGGAGGCATGATATCTGAATTGTCAGTAGATGTTGATAGGTGGAGTTACTTCTAGTTAGTTGGTGTATCGAAAGACTTAGGTTATACAAACAATGTAGAGAAAATGTATTACAAAGACCAACAATTTGGAATGAATGAACTATTTGATGACAAAGGTGCTCTAGAAATTGCAGACCTATATAGGATACACCATAGTGTTCATGTTTACATTCAACACGGTTTGTCTCAACCTGAGTATTGTGATGGTCCTGTTGAGGAGCTTGAGAACATTGTAGATGAGATGGAGGAGTTGCTTAGTAAGCTGCATGATGACATTGAAGGAAAGTTAAAGGAGTATGTTATTGGTGTGGATGAAGGTAATGATCGATTGAATGATGCAAATGTTGTTGTGGAACAA